AGAGGCATTCAAGGCTCTCTATCTTGTCTGTGTTTGCTCACACCAAGGCCCCTACTTTCCCCACGCCCCCACAGCTCTACATACACACACACACACACACACACACACACCCCCTTTCCGTTTGCACCAGCCATACCCAGGTATTGAGCTCTCCAAAACAATGGGCTGTTTCATACCTCTATTGTCCTTCCGTTCTCTCTTCCAGGGCCTGGTGAGGCTCAGCAGCTCCTGGGCAGAGTCTGCCATCTCCATCACTGCGCCCTGCCCATATCTTCTTGGCACAAGCCCTTCAGTATATGCGTGTGACTGCAGGTCGCCTAGTGACTGTGTGTATGCAGAGCTCGCTCATCTTTGCGTCCTCAGGGCCCAGGACAAAAGCCATGAAGTTTCTGAAAAGTAAGTAACAGTAAATATTCAAGTATCTTATTAATTTTGTGTTCATTATATTTCTCTCGTACTCATTCATTCATTCATTCAATTTCACAAGCTTATTGAACACCTACTATGTGCCAGGCAGTATGCTTAATCCAGCTTTCATGGTCCCTTCCCTTAAAAATATTTTAAACCAAAAAAAAAAATTTTTTTTAAACCAGTATCTTAAAATTAACCTTGGAGAGTTCTGCTAATAGTGTGTGTTCAAGTTTTGGGGTGAGTAGGAGGAAAAAAATACCATCTTATATTTACACAAGGGATTTATATTTTTTACAAAACATTTTACAGTCTTTTATCAAGACTACCCCTGGTTAAGTAAGTAGGGTCTTGCTCATTCCCACTCCAGGGGACCACGGGAGACAACACGGTTCTAAAATCTGAGCTGTGTGTCCTCTCTGGAGCAAACATATGTGTTCACCAGCTCCTGATGCCACTTTGAAACAGGGATGGGTGACAGATGGCATTTGTGCCACTCCAAGCATTGTAGGTGGCACTCAGCCACTCTGCTGCATTACTATCACTTTGTACTTTGCCTTTCTTTCCCTTCTTTCTCTCTCCTATTTGTTATCTTTCTTTTCCCTTCCCCTTTCTCTCTCAGACGACTTTATCATCCCCTACATAGGCATCCTTGGACACTACTCAGCTTCTGACATTTGAGTTCCCTTCATTCCTAGGCTGGACTACACCCAAACTCCAGAATGTGAAGTGGGGGCAGGGGAGGTACAGAACTGGTCCTGACTCTGTGTCCCTCAGGCTGTTGCTGACTCCGTTCCATGCCAGACACCCTAAGGTAAATGAGCTGAACCAGCCACTCACCCTGACCCATCAGCAAGAAAGGAGCCAGGAAAGGGAGCGTATGGCTTGGTCTGGTTTAAGCAGAAGAACTTCAAAGACACACTCATCTGCTTAGGGTTTCACACTGTTGCCCCAGGGAATAGGAGCAGAAAGGCAATGCTTGCTTTCCCCCAACACATTCAGAAAAACCCCCTCATCCCAGCATTAGTCTCTCTAAACCCTGCACGGGAACAGTGAATCTTGACTGACCCTGATTTGTTGGAGCAGAAGAGGGAAAGTAACAGCCGGCCCTAAATGTCAAGGTGAGGAGTGTAGCCTGGTTAGAAAGAGAGCCAGGAGCGTTCTGTGGGGTGTAGCACGTGACTGGGATCGTCAGGCCTGGAGGGACCAGGAGCCAATTGGAGTGGGAGGTGTTGGGAATGCAAAGTCGGCTGTAGACTCAGCACATTAAAAATGTCAAGAACAAGGCAGAGAATAATGCGAGGGGAAGAGTGCCTTCTGTTTTGTGGGAGGCAGGTTACGAAATGTTAGAAGCGCACGTTTGCTTTCATGTGTCTGCTTGGTTGCAAGTCCAATCTGCTGTCTGCTGGAACCCAGGAGAACTGATGGGAACGAGGCATCCAGAATCCTGCTCCCATTCCAGGAAGTCCTGGCTCTACCTTCCCGTGCTCTGGAGATTCTCCTGCTGCTGCGTGAAGAGGAATTTATAGAGCAAGTCAATCCAGGCACGCTCAATGAAAGTGAGCATTTATGGCGCTGCTCATCAGGCCTGAGAGCTAGTGAGGAGTAGCTGAGGCCGCACCTACTCAGAAGTCCATGTGGTCGACAGGGAACCACCAGGGAAGCTTCAGCGTGGCATTGTTTTTAAAGACATTGAGCTCAGTTCTCTGTTTCTCAGCTATGCAGCCCTGAGGCAGGGGCCCTCCTGGATATGCAGGAGAGATTCTTCCAGCCTTTAGAGCTCTGTAATTTATTACTACCAGAGCCACAGTCTTTCTGTTCAGTGCCCAGCCAGGAAATGCACACTTGCCACCAAGAACCTGTTTTGAAAGCCCCCACTAATGAAATGCTCCTGGGAGGAAGGAGCTGGGCCACTGTCTTAGGGAATTTCTGGAACTTATTTCCCCATTGGTAAAACCTCAATAATAACACCTGCTCAGTTGACTTCCAAGAGTTGTGGGCAGATTTAAAGGAGCCCATGTATCTGGAAGCACCTTCAAATGGAAGGGATGCTCATTGCTCAGCGTTGGCCCATTCCACTGGTTTTAGGCCCTATGGCAGGCATCTTGCTGGCTGATCTTGCAAAGAGGTCTTTCCCTCACCTTCAAGTGCAGCATTCTGTTCTGGGAGGCCAGAATGTCCTTTGGTCTAGAGGAAACTAGGCCGTTGTTTGCAATAGGTCCAGGCAGACCAAGTCCAGGACAGGATACCTTCAGGGTCTCTCAGAACATCATCTGGGGATAGGCCGAGCAAGCCTGTTTGCTGCCTGGGTGGTGCCCAGACCCTCCTGTCTCTTCATTTGCCTCTGTGTCAGATAGCAGATTCCTGAATCACTCTAAAAAGTGGTGGTTGGAGCAACATAACTTCCCCAGATCATGGCTAGGGGTCAGCCACGGTCATTAGCATGTGTCATTGAGACCTCTGGGATGTCACCAGAGAAGGACCTGTCAGTTGGATCCAACTGTCCAGGTAAATCAAAGAATGCTTATCAGCCCCTCAGGATGGGCTGCCCTCAAGGGTGTACTCAATGCCCAAGGGTTGGAAAAACTAACAATTCTGAGAGAGGACTCAAGGTTTCACGCATAAGCAAGCACTGGAGACAATGCTCAGGTCCGTAACAGCAGTAACAATACCCATTGTAATATTCAACACAGGCTCAGCCAAGGTCCTTGGGGAGTAATAGTGTGGGGAGGGGTGCCGTGCCCTCCATCCAGGCTCCAAAAGAAAAGGTCTTATTATTACCTAGTTAAAAACAATGTAAGCAAGGCAACTCCGTGACTGAAACATGTTGATGGTGAGGGAGAGACTTGAGGGAGACTCTGAGCAATTCCCAGAATAAATTCCCACGTAAATTCAAAGAATACTAGTGGAAAGAAGCCACTGCTCGCTGTCTTTTAAGCCAAATAATATCTTCCTGCCGGAAAGGGGGTTGTTCTTGGCAGTTGGAAGTAAATGTGAGGAGGGAATCAAAACATGATGCCTGAGAAAGGAATCCATCAGAAATCTGAAGGTAGGAACATGGTGAGAAATAACAAAGAAAGATGAGTTGGTAGCAGGAACAAAGATTAACTGTACCAAAGGAGATGGCACGTTGGCTCTTAGAATAGGTTTGGTGACGCCACGTACTTGGTAGTAGGCCTGGGGCAGCCGAGCTGCAGGACTGTGCATCCTTCATTCCATTCTCAGGGCTCAGAGGAAGGTCCCTGCCCAAACATGGGGATCTCAGGTGAGGCTTCTGGAAGCTGAAGCCCCAGCCCCCGCTCCCTCCTCGCACCAATTCCGGAAGGACACTCCAGGACCAAATCAGCGAGGCTTCACCTTGTGATAGAAAAAGTCAACACAGAAGGTAGTGAAACCTGCAGAGAGTATTTTCTCTTCACTCTGCCTTCAGTTACTGGAAGGGCCTCTGGGGGACTTCGGCAAGTTTGACAAATGGCAGAAGTATTGGGAAGAAATTTTTTTTGCTGGCAACGGGGAGTGGATGATTGGGCGTAGACATGCTGCTGCAGTTCTTAGTACTAAAACTGTAGAGGACGGGCAGAAAGGCCAGCTTCCTTGCATGTCTGGTCACAGCTAATGTCCCAGTGCCTAAACTCCTCAAGTATTAGCATTTGGGTAGAGATGAAGTTCTCTGCGGTGGCAAGAACGAATTCATCCCGAACGCTATCCCAGATGCCTCCAGCTAGAGGCATCAGCGAGTGCACGTGAGTCACCAGGCAGAAACGACTACACTTGCCCGACTCCAAAATCCGTGACTCACAGAACACTCACATACACGAATACCCACTGTTTCCAGAAGCACCTTTCTCCAAGTGGCTGGGAGCGGTTTACGAGCTGCTAGCTCATCCTCAGCAAGTCCCCTGCAGGGAGAGCAAAAGGTGGGGAGAGAGGAGGGGTAGACATAATCATCTGCATTTTATGTGGGGAGACTGAGGCCCAAACAAGCCTGCAAGGGAAATGTGTAGACATTTTTGAGTCATACACTGCCCATGGAAGAGCCAAAATGAGCGGTTCAGAATCCTCAGTAGACTGTCTTCTTGGGCAGCTGTTCTCACACAGCCTCCAAACAGGTGAGCCAAAAATGCAGACTCGCTGTATTTTACATTTATAACCAACTTCCCACCCTTCATTCTGCCCAGGACCTCTGCTCCATCTCCCTGTGACCTTTTATTGACTTCAGAGGCCTTTTAATCCCCTTTTCCTCCTGAGCCGCTCTCAGTTCTGACAGACACCTCATTCCTGACATTCACTGCATTCTTGACCTCAGTACTGATCCTCGGTATCTCTCCCACTCTGAATCTCTACCACCCTCTCCCCTCACCTGTTCCTCACCCAGACACCTTGATGCCCAGAGGTGCGATTGGCAATAGGACGAAGACTGGGGCTGGAGGAAAGTTCACAGAAGGAGTGTAAAATGCCCATTTTACTCATTTATTTTTGAAAGTCCAAACGTTTGTCAGCTGAGGTTTTAGACCAGATCTAAATACCCTCATGTCAAAATAACTGCTATAAAGTGGCCCTGTTAACATAGCTGCATCCAAAGGACTGGTGGTCTAGACGTCACCTGCTGCTGGCTGGCTTCGATCCTCTTTTTTGTGGCCTTGCCTTCTGTCGCGCTGGCTTCCGGTGTGTGGTTATTCAGAAGAGTCAGAACCGGGGCACCTTTCTACTGTGTTCCGAGGGAGGAGTACATAGGTGTCACACATGGAACCCGTCTAAAAACCCAACAGGATGCTAGCGCCATGGCCATGTGTCTCTGCCTCCCCGTGAGGCAGCCGGGCTGGCATCAGTCCTCTCCCCAACCTCCTTCCTGCCCCCATCCTCCCACCAGCTCTTGTTGGGTCAGAAATACAGTTCTCCGGTGGTGCCAGACAGCCAGATGATGCTGGAAAAAAGAAAGAAAAAGGAAAAGCAGATTTCTAAATTAAGCACACATCTCATTTATAAAAATAAATAGCCACAGCCTAGCAACAAGCTGACAGCTCAGCTTCCCTCCGTGATGTAACCTCTGTGGCTGGAGCCGGGGATGACACAGCGTCCAGAGAGCCCCACGCCCTGGCCCCTCCCCATGTGTAGTAGTCACCCAGAGAGTGCTGACACTGGCACTTTGAAGACCCAGCTTCTCATTCAAGGCCAACCAAGGGCCAGGCTCCAAAGGAGCAGAGAGGAGCCAGAGATTTCCAAACTTGCTGAGGCCCCAAAACACCTACAAACTCTTGGCAATAACTAACACACCTGAAGTGAAGGCAGATGAGGTTCTGTGGGCTGTTCCATTGAAACAGAAGTGGCTTCTTGAAACCCTGACTTCTCCGTTCACCACCAGTATCCAGTATCCATTATCCAGCTTAGCACATGGCACACACTAGGCGCTTAGTAAGTGAATGGAGGTATGAATGAATGGATGGATGGATGGATGGATGCTGTCTTCCCATCATCTCTGCCCCCTAGACTTTCTGCTCTAAATAGTGTGAACTCCTGAAGATGAAGAGAGGCATAATCTCCCGATTATGACGTGTACCAAAGAGGCAGTGTTCCCTGGGATTTGAGCCAATAGCTGGAGTGAGCACCTGTGAGGCTGTTAAAGGGTGTAGCCTTTTACTGCTACAGGTGCAGACTTTATGGTCTTCACACATGGAGAGGGACCCAGGGTATGGGAGGTGTACTTGGTAATAATTGTCAGTTCTAGGGCACCTGGGTGGCTCAGCCAGTTGGCGTCTACCTTCAGCTCAGTTCATTGTCCCATGGTCCTGGGATTGAGCCCTACCTTGGGCTTTCTGCTCAGCAGGGAGCCAGCTTCCCCCCCCCACCTGCTGCTCCCCCTGCTTGTGCTCTCTCTCTCTCTGGCTGTCAAATAATAAATAAAAGCTAAATTTATAATAATAACAATAATAATAATTGTCAGTTCTCCCAAAACTTCTCTCATTCTTTAGGCAGCATCAGTTCCAAGGAAGAGGTATTACCAGACAGAGAAGGTACAGAACAAAATAGTACATGAGTTTTTGGTGTTAGTCCTTTTGGAAAACAAAGTGGGTTCTGCTGTGCCCTTGGAGTCTCCATAGGCCAAACATGTCAGAAATGGACCACAGTGTGGAAGATTTAATCCTATCACCAACCCTCTCAAGTCACGAAATGGTTCTGACTCTCCTCAGAATACTAAACATTAAGTAATCTTCTAAATTCCATGAGGATCCTGCTGAGGTTGGAGGGGACAATCTTAACTACTGGAAGCAGTGTTTCTGTGAGGCCTCACATACTCCCTACTGACCAGAGAGCAGTTGTAGCCAGAATGTCAGTCACAAATCACCATCTCAGAGCAGGGGCCCTAGGTTAAAAAGATCAGAAAAATTGGCTCACAGTTGCCTTTACATACGCTGTCTGGCCTGACCAGAAGCAGTAAAACCACATCCGTGTCAATAGGAAGAAGGTTCTTAATTAAATTCAGATGTACAAGAATATATTACCAGTCTATTTTTGGAATGATAATCTATTATGGACAAAAAAAATTCTGAACAGCAGCAAATGTGGTACAGTTGCATCGGGCTCCACATAACAGCGCCAATCATCTCAATCCCATAGCCTTCCCGAAAGATGTAAACTATGGCACTGGGACATTTAGGAAGAGGGACTTCACCAGTGACCTGATTAGAGGTGTGACCACAAGGACACAACCCCAGCAGAGGATAAGCAGAGAGACTGATCAGGCTACTTGAAATCTAGAATGACATCTCTTTGGTGATACTAAGAGTAACCCTCTCCAGAGCAGGCCAGCCATGACACTCATAACCACAGTCCTGTGCTCCAGCCTGGGAAGGGCACAGTGTGTCCTGTGGGTCCGTAACGCTCTTGCCCAGGGCTTCCTCTTCTGAAATGGCTGCATAGTGATAAGATGCAACTGACCCCCACTCTCTTTAAGCATTACAGAAATTCTTGAGACTAGAATCCAAGACTTGGCTTTGTGACCTTACTTTGTGACCTTGGAAATGCAGTTTTCTTATCTATAAAATGGGGAGAGTTTAGGCTCTGCTCTCCAGTCTCCCAGGATTGTCTGAGGATCAAATACAACATTGTTATGTTCAAATGTTTCTCAGTCTACAAGCTATTCTTCCCTGTGATTTTTTTTTTTTCTAAATTGTACAGGTATACAGTAAGAAGTTTGTTTCTGATGTGGGGAATGTGACTTCCTTCATCACAAACTTCCAGGGTGCTACCTGGTTTTGGTATACCAGAGTTTGCTCTATCCTCGTCGTAATCCTAATTTTTGGGCCTATTTTCACTTCACATACCAGAGACTTCTAATATTTGTGTGTATGTGTGTGTTTGTACTGTTTCTTTCCCCTTACGATTCTTGAATCGCTGCTCGGGTTCTAGAATGCATGTGAAGCTTTGGGGGATGTGCATGGTCCAGCCGTTCACATTGCAAATGGAGGCCCACGGCCCAGATACTTAACGTACCCATGCCCGGTCATTCATTGAAGGAGACACAAGCTCCCTGCTGAGAAGGGAGTCCAACATGGGGCTTGATCCCAGGACCCTGGGATTATAACCTGAGCCGAAGGCAAACGCTTAACCGACTGAGCCACCCAGGCACCCTGAAATAATTTATTTTTGATAAAAGGATCCATGAATGGGGGAGAGAGAGACAAAATTTCCATTAAACGATTCTTATAAAGATGTAGATCCCATTCATCAAGAAGAAAAACACTTGATGGTAAATTAAGGCTATCCATATTACATAAGAAGCAGACAACAAAAGTGCTTCCTAATTGTTTTAATTTCATGGCACACATTTTTAAAAATTATGATGTCTGCAACATGAGGTGAACTGGAAGGAGGAGTTACTTAAGGCCAGAGGTGACCAACCAAGGGACTTCTGGACCACAGAAACTCTCAGCCGCCCGAAGGCTGAAAGGGCCAGTATATCAGCTCACTTGTAACCCACTGACTTCTTTGAACCATAGAACTACAGCATTCTGGCTGAAACACACAGGTCTAGACTCTGCTCCATTACAAATCTGAAATCCACGTTTTCTCTAGGTTTCTGGTGAAACTCGCTAAGCCTAGGACAAACTCCCTCTGATGACCCAATATTTCAAAGCTACCTTAATGGGCATTTACTACAATGAGACAGGTGTGGGTTCCTGTTTACGTTTCTACTTCTTTGGTCCAGGTTTATCCTATATGTACACAGAGTTACAGGTTGAGCAATGACCTAATGATTTGCAAGAAGGAAGTAATCCTTGATCACATTTAGCCTGCGTCCAGTTGCTGACCTGAAATGAGTTTTACATAAACATTAAAAAAAATGTATCTTGCCGGGACGCCTGGGTGGCTCAGTCATTAAGTGTCTGCCTTCAGCTCAGGTCACGATCCCAGAGTCCTGGGATCGAGCCCCGCATCAGGCTCCCTGCTTGGCAGGAAGCCTGCTTCTCCCTCTCTCACTCCCCCTGCTTGTGTTCCCTCTCTTGCTGTGTCTCTCTCTGTCAAATAAATTAAATTAAATATATATATATAGCCAACAATTTAAAAATTCAGAAATTTCTCATTAATAAATTCAGGTAAACTGGCTTCTTTGAAACATGGGAAAATCTGATAACTCAGCCACAGTTTCCCCCATGGTCATAGTCATCTGAGACTAAGGGCCTAAGTAGTGCAGTAGATAGGAGTGTTGGCTGCAAGGGTTCAAATCCCATCCCTGTTGGTTTCAGGTAACATTATTCATGAATTTAACCTCTCAAAGTCTTGGCTTCTCATTTTTATTTTATTTTTTATATTTTAGAAAGTGCACAAGTGAATGAAGGCAGGAGGTGGTAGCAGAGAGGCAGAAGGCAGAGGAAGAGAAAAAATCTTCAGTTGGCTCCATGCCCAGTGCAGAGCCTGATGTAGGGCTTCAATCTCATGACCCTAAGCCAAAATCAAGAGTTGGACTCTTAACTGACTGAGCCACCCAGGCACACCATGTTTCTCATTTTTAAAGACAGTGTTAAACTAATAGCATTGATTTTTGTGTACAGAAAAATGCTTGAAACAGTGGCTGCCATATAATAATCGCTTAGTAAATGTCGGTGATTTCTTACCCCCCCCACCTTCCCTTACACAGGTAGCTTTGCTATTTTTCTGAGCATAACTATTAGTCTGCATAGTTCAATAAAATGAGTTTGGCACTCGCGGTGCCTCAGGTTACAAGGTATTAACTCAAGTCTACATCCTTCCCTGGGTTGATTGGTCTCATCCCCAGCCTGACACATACCCTTCTTCTTCTCTGAACTCCTTCCTCATCCCACAGGAGCCCATAATGAAACCTGACATCAGGGCAAAGGACACATAGACACCCTGAGTCCTCAGACTTCTAATTAGAGTTTTCTGAACAGAAGAAACATGGCTCCCCTGGTTGCTTCAAGGTGTCTCATCCACTTTCTAATAGCAAGTCTTTCCCAGCATTTTGCCCCTTAGCCGCCCCCCCCAGCACATATAAAGAGAGAATCTTTGGAGTAATTCAGTTAGCAAGTCAGTCATCAAGAAGGCATGAATCTACAGAAAAATATGGAGGTGCTTTCCTCATAGAAAGTTGTTTTTCATAAACCAATTTCTGCTGCTAAGCAACCTCGATGATGCCTCTTGTAGAAATATAGCTAAAGAGAGTCCTTGATTGTCTACAGTGGATTAAGCTGACACTCTTATGAGTCAGAAGAAGGTACCAGAGAAAGTTTAATTCAGGCTGGGATGAATGTAAAATATTTTGTAAGAAGCAAAATAAGAGCGGCATGCCCAAGTAGTGATGTATAAGACA